GCCAATCCCAGCCCTCCACGCGGGCCTCTCCATCTTCCCCTGCCCAGGGAAGTGGGGGGGCTAAAGCCAAGAGGAGGAGGACTCCGAGGACGGCCGCGGTGGTCATCACTTGTCCACCCGGCCAATATAAGGAGGCGATCAGGCTGGCCACGGAACGTATAGACTTGGCCAGCCTGGACATCAATGGAATGACGGCCAGGAAGGCTGTCACGGGCGCCCAAATTTTTGAAGTGGGTGGCCCGGACAACCGGCGCAAAGCTGAAGAGCTTGCCGGAAAAATCCGGGAGGTACTGGCAGGAAAAGAGGGGGTGAGAGTTGCTTGCCCCACCCCTACTGCAGAGCTCCGAATCCGGGACCTATGTGAGGCGACGGAGGAGGAGGATGTAAGGAAGGCCGTGGCCTCTGTCGGCGGATGTGTTATCGACCTTGTTAGGGTCGGAGCGATCCGATTCGCTGACAGGGGCCTCGGCACTGTATGGGTGCGCTGCCCTTTGGCTGTGGCCAATAAATTGGCCGCAGCCGGAAAGTTAAGAATCGGGTGGACCAACTCCCGAGTGGAGGCACTGGAGAGGAGACCTCTCCAGTGCTTCCGGTGTATGGGGAAGGGGCACACGAAGTCCCAGTGCGCGAGCCCCACAGACAGGGGGGGCAACTGTTACAGGTGCGGGAAGCCTGGACATGTGGCACGGGACTGCGCGGCTCCAACAAGGTGCCCGGTGTGCGCAGATCTCGGCCGCCCGGACAATCATCGTGCGGGTTCCCGCGCCTGTAACGCGCCAAGAAAGAAGGCGGGTGGACGGGCGAAACAACCGGCCACACTGGCCTCCTCTCTCCCCTCAACTAAGGAGAGGGGAGAAAAAGACGAGGAGATGGACTCCACCCCTCCAACACAAGAGAGGGACATGGAGTGCGAGCCCCCTCTTCCAAAGAGGGAGCCGCGTACAAGGGCGGACCACAAGTACGCGGGTCACCCCCCATCGGAGCCCTTGGCGAGGGCAGAAGGTGGGGAAGGTGAACAGATGGAGGTGGTGCCGGAGGAGCCTGGTGAACAAAAATAAACATGACCACCAGACTCCTTCAGGCTAATCTTAATCACGCCGGCCAGGCGCAGCATTTGTTCATGCAGAGCCTGGCCGAGCGTGAAGTGGGACTGGCGATCGTTGCCGAACCGTACACGGTCCCCGACCACAATGACAATTGGGTCGGGGATGCCGGTGGTTCGGCGGCGATAGTGAGGGCTGGCGCGAACTCCCCCTCTCTCCGACTAATAGGGAGAGGAGGGGGATTTGTTGCTGTCAAGTGGGGGCCCATCTATGTGGCCTCGTGCTACGCCCCCCCTAGATGGACTCCCGGCGAGTTCGAGACATTTCTCGAACAACTTGGGGCGGTCGTGCAGGGCATTCTGCACGACGCTCCCAACGCCCCCATTATAGTGGCCGGGGACTTTAACGCTAAGTCCCCGGCCTGGGGGGAAACTCGCCGGGACCGAAGGGGTAACACCCTGGTTGGGTGGGCGAGCGAGCACGGCCTCTGTGTGATAAACAGAGGCCGTGTTGGCACCTGCGTGCGGCCGCAGGGTCAGTCCATCGTGGATATCACGATGGGCTCCCCGAGTGTCGCACGCATGGTGAGTGAATGGCGCGTGGTGCAAGACATGAGAGGGGAAACCCTCTCGGACCACCGCTACATAGAGGTGGTCCTTGGCACCGCGCGCCGACCATTTCCTCGCCCACCTTTAGGTGGGGAGAATGAGGCGAGATGGGCCCTCACGAAGCTCAATGAGGACGAGCTGGAGACCGTCCTTCGTGCGGTGACATGGGGGATGCCGGAAGGAGAAACGGGTCGGGACATCCACGAAGAAGTGGAATGGCTCCGGGGCATCATGCACCAGGTGTGCGATGCTTCCATGCCCCGGGCCAAGTCCCGCCCGCGTCGGGCGGTTTACTGGTGGACGGAGGAAATTGCCGAGCTACGGCGTTCCTCCGTCCAAGCCCGGCGCGCGCTCTCCCGGCTCCCCCGCAACGGGAATAGGAGAGCCGTTGACGAAGCCCTGGCCGCCTATAGGGACGCTAGATGCTCCCTTAGCCGAGCCATTAGGAAGTCGAGGGCTACATGTTGGAGCGACTTACTCAAGTCGCTCAACACGGACCCATGGGGGCGCCCATATAAGATAGTGTTGAGAAAACACAGAGCTTGGGCGCCCCCCGTGACGCAGTCCCTGGAGGACCACATCCTCGACAGAGTGGTGGACACCCTCTTTCCCCAACGGGTGGAGGGGTCCACACTCGAGTGGGGTCCGAATCTAGATGGACCCCACGAGATTAGTGAGGATGTGGAGATTACCAGGGACGAAATCATCCGGGCCGTCCGGCGCATCGGGTCGCGTAAGGCACCCGGGCCGGACGGGGTACCCGGTAAAATATGGGTCCGGGCCCTTGACTTCCTTGGCGAGCGCCTGAGGCACATCTTTAACGAGTGCCTCAGGCGAGGGGTGTTCCCCCCTCAATGGAAGAAGGCCAAACTGGTCCTTCTTCCTAAGGAGGGCAGAGAACCGGGCACTCCGTCGGGTTATAGGCCAATTTGCCTGCTGGACGAGGTAGGGAAGATTCTGGAAAGGATCATTGCTACCCGCCTCGTCCAGCATCTGTCCCGGGAAGGGGTAGATCTCCATGAGGAGCAATACGGCTTCCGGGAGGGACGTTCAACGATTGACGCAATCAAACGCGTCAGGTCCCTCTCGGAGGCCGCGATAGAAGAGGGCGGGGTGTGCATGGCGGTGTCGCTAGACATCGCCAATGCGTTTAACACCCTGCCCTGGGATTGCGTCGGGGACGCCCTCCAGAGAAGAGGCGTCCCCAGCTACCTCGTGGGGATCATCCAAAGTTATTTCCGGGACAGAATGCTGGAGTATGTCGGACCGGACATGCTCCAGCACCGACGGAGTGTCCATTGCGGGGTCCCGCAGGGGTCGGTCTTGGGCCCTCTGCTATGGGACCTCGCATTTGACAGAGTTCTCTGCCTTCCCCTCCCTCGCGGCTGCCATGTCATATGCTATGCTGATGACACGATTGTGGTGGCCGCGGGGGGGGACTGGGGGGACACTGCGGCCAGGGCGGAAACCGCAACGGCGTGTGTGGTGCGCGGTGTCATCGATATGGGTCTCAGGGTGGCAGCTAACAAAACGGAGGCGATGTTCTTTTATAGTCGCGCCTCCGGGGTGCCGCCCGAGACCCGTATCCGAGTAGGAGGAGCCTCCATCCTGGTGGGAGACCGATTAAAATATCTCGGTCTCTTATTGGATGGCCGGTGGAGTTTTGGACACCACTTTGGTGTCCTTGCCCCTAAGGTTGAGCGGGTGTCGGCCGCGTTAGGCCGGCTCTTGCCGAACCTTGGGGGCCCGGATGGCCGTGTCCGCCGCCTATATGTGGGGACGGTGAATTCGGTGGCCCTGTACGGGGCGCCCATTTGGGCGCGGGATCTCGCGGCCATGCGTAGCGCGAAAGATGCATTCAGAAGAGTGCAGCGCACCATGGCCGCGAGGGTGGTAAGGGCCTACCGTACCGTCTCCCATGCGGCGGTCACTATAATTGCGGGCTGGCCGCCCCTGGAGTTCCTCGCTCAAATGTATGCCGATATATATTGGCGGGAGCGGGAACTACGGGGCGGCCTTGGCGGAAGAAAGCTTCCGGCCCGCATTAAGAAGGTCATCCGGCTCCACGCCCGGCGGTCCCTGATAGAGAGGTGGGATGCCCACCTCTCCGACCCGAACACCGCGGGTCAGAGGACCGTCGGGGCCATCCGGCCCTGTCTGTCCAAATGGATGGACAGGGCTCAGGGGGAGGCAACCTATAGATTGACACAGGTGCTCACCGGACACGGTTGTTTCGGGGAGTACCTGTGTCGAATCAAACGGGAGGACACCGCGCACTGCCACCATTGCGAGGCGGCAAGAGATACGGCGCAGCACACCCTGGCCGAATGCCCGGCCTGGGATGGGCTGCGCCAAGATCTCACCAGGAAGGTGGGTGCAGACCTCTCGCTGCCGGCCCTTGCACAACAAATGGTCGGCAGCGAGGAGGCATGGAAGGCCGTCGCCTCCTTTTGTGAGTTGGTAATGCTCCAAAAGGAGGCGGCGGAACGCCTGCGTCGGCAGGAGGAGGCGGCAGCGGAGGCCGTAGCTGCTGTGGCCGCGGCCGACCGCCAAAGAAGCGAGGAGGAGGACGCGGAGGAGGAGAGCGTCGATGAGAGCGCGGAGGAGGGAGAGGTGGAGGACAGGGATATACCCACACCCCCGGCCTCTCCCCCTCCGCGGGCAGCAATAGCTGCAGCAAGACGGAGACGCCGGAGGAGGTCCTCGTCTCCCCGCCTGGGGAGATGACAATGAGGGGGGGAGATATAGTCATAGCCGTGGCAATGCCGCGGCAACATAGACATCTCCCCCCCCCTAAGGACCTCCTCCGGACGGACGAACGTACAAACGTACGGGATGGCGAGGTGGGAGTGGTGGGGAATATGTCCCTCCCTCCCACCTCAGTGGTGTAAATCATACCACAGAGACAGAGAGGAGGGGGATAACAATCCAGTCCCCCTCCTCTAATATGACGAGAGAACGGGGGGAGAAGAGAGACATTTCGTCCTCCCTCCCCCCACTTGGAGTACGCGACGGGGGCTGCTGACATAGCGGCCCTGTCGCGATTCCCTCGGGACTTGACCGTCATGAGCGGGGGCTCTTGGCGGTCTAATCAAAGTCCCCGAGGAAGGTGGGTGAATGGCGTGGCCCCATTCGCCCACAGAGGGAAGAGAGAGGGGAGGGAGCATTATTATTATTATTATTATTATTAATGCTCCTTTCCCTCGGGATGGAGACCCAGCGGCCGCCAAAACGCCGCTGGGTCGTAAGCGCGGAGGGGAACCACAGTCGGGGATGCAGAAGTATTGCATCAGCGAGTCCCTGGTCCCCGCCTGCCCCTCCAAACGCGCGGAAGGCCACCGCAGGAGTTTTAGCGGGTAAACCGGTCGACAATGACCGGGAGTCCCGCATAACCATCCACTCCTCCCCCGAGGGTGGTGGTATGCATAAAGCATTTCTCCTGCGTTACCAAAAAAAAAAAAAAAAAAAAAAAGGTTAGGTTGAGTGGAGCGGTCCTTATGTCAGTGAAGGGTACTGTGTTTACGGTACCTGGAGGCTGACATACCGCAAGCGAAGGGTCCGCCTTCCCCTCGCTTTAAATAAAAAATCCGGAGGCGGTGACACGGGAAGGAGCCGGCGTCGCACGTCGGCAACAGGGGATTGCCCACCCTTGTATAAAAAATCGAAGGCAGCCGGGTGCAGTGTTGACTTCCGTCGCGAAGCACGATAGTGTTTCCCGATGGAAACAACACAGCACAACACCGTCTCCACGTGGAGGCGGAGCTTCTCTCGGGTAGGAAGCCCATCTTCCGCTCTTCAAGCGGGAGGTGAGGTTGAGGGGTGGTGCATCACCCTCCGGAAAACCGGATGCACATTTAACTCGAGTCACGTGTGCCCGTATGGCGTGGTTATGTTGGGTGATGGGTTCCTGTGGAAGACCCACTTGAATCCACCGGTCAACATACCGCAAGCGGGGGTCCGCCTCCCCTCGCTTTAAATAAAAAACGCGGAGGCGGGGACACGGGTTAGGAGTCGGCGTTGCACGTCGGCGACAGGGGGCCTGCCCACCCCTGTATAAACAAACGCAGGCAGCCGGGTGCGGTGGTGTCTCGACCGAGATATTGGTATCTCGATTGGGACACTGCTGCACAAGCCGCCTCTACCGGGAGACGGGTTTAGAAACTTCGGGTAGGATGCCCACCTTCGCGGCGAAAGCGGGAGGTGAGGCGAGGGTTGTGCATCATCCTCCGGAAATCCGGATGCACATTTACTTCGAGTCACGGGGGCTAACAGGAGTCTGCATTCCTCCTGTCTAATAACGCGGATGCAGGGACACGGGAAGGGTCGATGAGGGTGAGGGAGCATCGAAACCTCCGCTAAGGTTTCTGGCTCGCTTGGGTCCGGAGGTTCCCATTCGGATAGGGTCGGTGGGACCGGGGAACTTCGGTTCCTGGGCTCAAGCGGGTCATAGGGTTTCCATTCGGATAGGGTCGGTGGAACCCGAGGGAACTGAGGCGGACAGATGCTCCCGAGCCTTTCATCCACAGAGTGGGGTGCGCCTTCCCCAGCTTTGAAAAACTCGAAGGCGTCCGGTGCTGGTTGATCTGCGATGAGATCAATTCAGCGTTTTTTGTTTTCGCTCTCGCGGTAGTTCTTTTGTTGCGGGTAGGATGCCCACCTTCGCGGCGAAAGCGGGAGGTGAGGTGAGGGTTGTGCATCACCCTCCGGAAATCCGGATGCACATTTACTTCGAGTCACGTGGGCCAACAGGAGTCTGCATTCCTCCTGTCTAAAAACGCGGATGCAGGGACACGGGAAGGGTCGATGAGGGTGAGGGGAGCATCGAAACCTCCGCTAAGGTTTCTGGCTCGCTTGGGTCCGGAGGTTTCCATTCGGATAGGGTCGGTGGGACCGGGGAACTTCGGTTCCTGGGCTCAAGCGGGTCATAGGGTTTCCATTCGGATAGGGTCGGTGGAACCCGAGGAAGCTGAGGCGGACAGATGCTCCCGAGCCTTTCATCCACAGAGTGGGGTGCGCCTTCCCCATCTTTGAAAAACTCGAAGGCGTCCGGTGCTGGTTGATCTGCGATGAGATCAATTCAGCGTTTTTTGTTTTCGTTAGTTCTAAGTTAGTTTAAGTTAATTTTAAGTTAGTTATAAGGTAGTTTTTAAGTTAGTTTTAAGCTAATTCTTATTTTTCTTTCAGGTTTTTCTTTTCAGGTTAGCTCGCGTCGGGTAGGAGATGCAGCGAGGGTTAGTGCATCACCCTCCGGAAAAATCGGATGCACGCTTATTTCGAGTCACGGATGCCGTCGAGTGGCGAGGCATGTCAAGTGACGGGTCGCTGACCCCGAGGCTGACATATCTCAACAGGAGTCTGCATTCCTCCTGTATAAAAAGTCGGATGCAGGGACACGGGCAGGGTCGATGAGGGTGAGGGGACCACTGTAATGGTCTGCTGGTGTCCCTTTAGTGCTTTGCTGGGTCTGTAGGTTTCCATTCGGATAGGGTCGGTGGAACCGGGGAACTTCGGTTCTTGGGCTCAGCGGGTACTTGGGTGCTCATACGGATAGGGTCGGTGGGACCCGGGAACATCAGCAGACTTGGGTGGTCCCAAGCCTTTCATCCACAAGGTGGGGTATGCCTTCCTCCAGCCGGAAAACGCGGAGGCATCTGCGGTGCCGAGGTGTATCTCCAATGTGATCACCTCGGTCAAATGGTTAGTGCCTGAACGGGCGGTGTGCCGGCCTAGCGATCGAGCGGGACCGTCGACCAAACGCCGGGGCTGGCGTCCCCCCCGAGTAGTAGTCGACGCGATACTTCTCTGCCGATTCTGCCTAGGTGAGAGGGCCCTCCAATTAAAATGAGGGGAGCTCGGTCGAGAGGAAGGCACATCTCTCAACACAGGAGTCTACCTAGTGGGGGCCTGCCTTACCCCACTCTAAAACAAGCGAAGGCACACGCGAATCATCTGGGTCCCCCTGGGTGGCTGGACACCTGGGGGGACACCACCAGTGGTGGTCCCCCGGCAGAGGGGGAAAAAATTAGTGGGCAGGGTGGCCGGCGTGCGTGGTCCAGATGCACTTGGACCCGCAGCGTTACGGACCTTGTTTTCGGCCCTCTTTGAAGGGTGCACTCCCCCGATTGGGCACCACCTTGACGTGGTGGGGGAGCTTAAGTCGGTCCCGGTCCCCTGGGGCGGTTCAGTTAGCCATTGGCTGCTGTTCCGGCCCGGGGGGCGGGATCGGTGAACTAAGAGTGCCCAGACTTCGCGTGCCAGGACCCCCGAACATCCGGGGTCCATCGCGAGGAGGCGCGCGACGCGACGACTCGTCCTCGTCGGACCGAGGACCGCGCGACGGGGAGACTTGTCTCCCCGCCCCCTTTGAGAGGCATGGGGCTCAGGGAGGCTGAGGTCGGGAGAATGACCTCCCTCCCAGGAGTACCCCCCTCGGAAGAATGGGGGAAGTGTGTTGCTGAAGCCGGGGGGAGTACGGAGATGAGATGACCTCCGCCCCCCTGGTGGACGCGGAGGCCAGGGTGGAGACTAAGTCTCGCCCTGGCGCCGGGGTGCGTAGTGCTTCGAGCCTCACACCCCGGTGGGGGGTGGGTCTAACGCTACGGCGATTCCCACCCCCGGGGGGGGTCTAACGCTTCGGCGATTCCCTCCCAGGGGCAGTTGGCCCCAGGGACGCGAGGTCCCGTGGGAGAGCTCCCGGGTCCGAACGGGAGCGGGAGGGGGTGCAGTTTCCCCCTCCACGCGTGTGAGCCGCGCTCGTCGGGATACGGCATCCCGGCGCCCGCGGCGGCGCGAGACGCGACTTGGTCGCATCGGTGCCCACCACCAGGCACCACGCGAGGGGCCCTTAATTGGGCCAGGCCGCCCGGTCCTCGCTTGGGATGCGTAAGCGTGTACGCGGGGACCGGGCCAAGCAGCACGGGTGGCTGCACGCAGGGGTTTTTAGTGGGTATACCCGGCATTGCACTCCGAGGGAGAGGACTAGCCTCTCCCGAGGGCCGGGGAGTCCCACACTACCCCCCTTGGCGCGCCGTCTTGGCGCCTTGGGGGTGTGCGTAATGCATTTTCCCCTGCGTTAAAAAAAAAAAAAAAAAAAAAAGGTTAGGTTAGGTTAGGTTCTCCTCCGATGGTGCGCCACCTTGTCGTGGTGGAGGAGCTCCCCTCTTCCTTCGGGTTGAGGGGTCTAAGAGCGCACCATTGCACTTCCTCGTGGTGTCCGCTGTAGGCGGCGGCTTCGGATGAAAACGAAAACGAAAGCGGCCCTCGGGCCGTGAGTAGCGAGTATGTGAGTAATCCGAAGTCGTCGTGGGCGGACATCACGAGAAGGGGGGTTGCGCTCCCTCCGGGCTTTATGGCCTGATGCGCATAGGGGAAGGAAAACCCTGACTCCAAACCCGGCACAATGGGGCTGTTACGGGTGGAAGAACACCCAACCCATTCTTTCTTCCTCCCATCCTAAACCTCCCATCCTTCTTCCCCGACCGATTGTCCCAAGGTCTCCACTTCTACTTTTCTTCGGGGTGGCGCCCGCTTTCAAATAGCACGGTACCCGGCTTTGGGTGCAGATGGAGCCCAGCGACTCCATAGAGATGAGGTCTGCTGCCGCGGACCAGTCTCGTTCGCTGGAAGGGGTTGGCGGCCCTGACTTCAATCGCCCAGTGGTACGGCACTGTAGGGGGAGCCTAGCTCTCCGCCCGTAACTTGTGTGGGTGCTCCCACAGGGGGGATGAGGTGGCGGATCGGTGGGTGCTCCCGCCGTGAAGCGTCCCTCAAAGGGGAAAAACGGGAACCGGCCGGGACCCTCGCCCGAGGGACTGGTGGGGTGACTTTGTCACCTGCCGGGCCAGAGGCGGGGATTATCTCGGTGGCGGTTCCTCTGTGTGTGAATGGTGTGTGCATGTGTGAGTGTGTGTGTGGGTGGAGTTCGGGTCTCTCCTCGGAGAGACGCGGAAATCCACCATCTTTTTGGCCACCGGGCAGTAGAGTCTTCGGGTCGCGGCTTGCTTTCAAGAGGGTTGGTGCCTCACCCTCCGGAAAAATCGGAGGCATACTTATGTCGAGTCTCGGGAACCGTCGAGTGGAGCGGTCCTTATGTCAGGTGAAGGGTACTGTGTTTACGGTACCTGGAGGCTGACATACCGCAAGCGAAGGGTCCGCCTTCCCCTCGCTTTAAATAAAAAATCCGGAGGCGGGGACACGGGAAGGAGCCGGCGTCGCACGTCGGCAACAGGGGGATTGCCCACCCTTGTATAAAAAATCGAAGGCAGCCGGGTGCAGTGTTGACTTCCGTCGCGAAGCACGATAGTGTTTCCCGATGGAAACAACACAGCACAACACCGTCTCCACGTGGAGGCGGAGCTTCTCTCGGGTAGGAAGCCCATCTTCCGCTCTTCAAGCGGGAGGTGAGGTTGAGGGGTGGTGCATCACCCTCCGGAAAACCGGATGCACATTTAACTCGAGTCACGTGTGCCCGTATGGCGTGGTTATGTTGGGTGATGGGTTCCTGTGGAAGACCCACTTGAATCCACCGGTCAACATACCGCAAGCGGGGGTCCGCCTCCCCTCGCTTTAAATAAAAAACGCGGAGGCGGGGACACGGGTTAGGAGTCGGCGTTGCACGTCGGCGACAGGGGGCCTGCCCACCCCTGTATAAATAAACGTAGGCAGCCGGGTGCGGTGGTGTCTCGACCGAGACATTGGTATCTCGATTGGGACACTGCTGCACAAGCCGCCTCTACCGGGAGCGGGTTTAGAAACTTCGGGTAGGATGCCCACCTTCGCGGCGAAAGCGGGAGGTGAGGCGAGGGTTGTGCATCATCCTCCGGAAATCCGGATGCACATTTACTTCGAGTCACGGGGGCTAACAGGAGTCTGCATTCCTCCTGTTAATAACGCGGATGCAGGGACACGGGAAGGGTCGATGAGGGTGAGGGGAGCATCGAAACCTCCGCTAAGGTTTCTGGCTCGCTTGGGTCCGGAGGTTCCCATTCGGATAGGGTCGGTGGGACCGGGGAACTTCGGTTCCTGGGCTCAAGCGGGTCATAGGGTTTCCATTCGGATAGGGTCGGTGGAACCCGAGGGAACTGAGGCGGACAGATGCTCCCGAGCCTTTCATCCACAGAGTGGGGTGCGCCTTCCCCAGCTTTGAAAAACTCGAAGGCGTCCGGTGCTGGTTGATCTGCGATGAGATCAATTCAGCGTTTTTTTGTTTTCGTCTCGCGGTAGTTCTTTTTGTTGCGGGTAGGATGCCCACCTTCGCGGCGAAAGCGGGAGGTGAGGTGAGGGTTGTGCATCACCCTCCGGAAATCCGGATGCACATTTACTTCGAGTCACGTGGGCCAACAGGAGTCTGCATTCCTCCTGTCTAAAAACGCGGATGCAGGGACACGGGAAGGGTCGATGAGGGTGAGGGGAGCATCGAAACCTCCGCTAAGGTTTCTGGCTCGCTTGGGTCCGGAGGTTTCCATTCGGATAGGGTCGGTGGGACCGGGGAACTTCGGTTCCTGGGCTCAAGCGGGTCATAGGGTTTCCATTCGGATAGGGTCGGTGGAACCCGAGGAAGCTGAGGCGGACAGATGCTCCCGAGCCTTTCATCCACAGAGTGGGGTGCGCCTTCCCCATCTTTGAAAAACTCGAAGGCGTCCGGTGCTGGTTGATCTGCGATGAGATCAATTCAGCGTTTTTTGTTTTCGTTAGTTCTAAGTTAGTTTAAGTTAATTTTAAGTTAGTTATAAGGTAGTTTTTAAGTTAGTTTTAAGCTAATTCTTATTTTTCTTTCAGGTTTTTCTTTTCAGGTTAGCTCGCGTCGGGTAGGAGATGCAGCGAGGGTTAGTGCATCACCCTCCGGAAAAATCGGATGCACGCTTATTTCGAGTCACGGATGCCGTCGAGTGGCGAGGCATGTCAAGTGACGGGTCGCTGACCCCGAGGCTGACATATCTCAACAGGAGTCTGCATTCCTCCTGTATAAAAAGGCGGATGCAGGGACACGGGCAGGGTCGATGAGGGTGAGGGGACCACTGTAATGGTCTGCTGGTGTCCCTTTAGTGCTTTGCTGGGTCTGTAGGTTTCCATTCGGATAGGGTCGGTGGAACCGGGGAACTTCGGTTCTTGGGCTCAGCGGGTACTTGGGTGCTCATACGGATAGGGTCGGTGGGACCCGGGAACATCAGCAGACTTGGGTGGTCCCAAGCCTTTCATCCACAAGGTGGGGTATGCCTTCCTCCAGCCGGAAAACGCGGAGGCATCTGCGGTGCCGAGGTGTATCTCCAATGTGATCACCTCGGTCAAATGGTTAGTGCCTGAACGGGCGGTGTGCCGGCCTAGCGATCGAGCGGGACCGTCGACCAAACGCCGGGGCTGGCGTCCCCCCCGAGTAGTAGTCGACGCGATACTTCTCTGCCGATTCTGCCTAGGTGAGAGGGCCCCTCCAATTAAAATGAGGGGAGCTCGGTCGAGAGGAAGGCACATCTCTCAATACAGGAGTCTACCTAGTGGGGGCCTGCCTTACCCCACTCTAAAACAAGCGAAGGCACACGCGAATCATCTGGGTCCCCCTGGGTGGCTGGACACCTGGGGGGACACCACCAGTGGTGGTCCCCCGGCAGAGGGGGAAAAAATTAGTGGGCAGGGTGGCCGGCGTGCGTGGTCCAGATGCACTTGGACCCGCAGCGTTACGGACCTTGTTTTCGGCCCTCTTTGAAGGGTGCACCTCTCCGTGGACGCCACCTTGCCGTGGTGGAGAGGCTTAAGCCGTTCCCGGTCCCCTGGGGCGACTCAGTAGCCATTGGCTGCTGTTTCGGCCTGGGGGGGCGGGGCGGTGAACTAAGAGCGTCCATTGCACTCCCTCGTGGTGTTCGTCGGCGACGACGGAAGATGAAAACGAAAACGAAAGCGGCCTTCGGGCCGTGAGTAGCGAGTAGTGAGTAATCCGAAGTCGTCGCTGGCGAACACCATGGGAAGAGGGGATTCCGCTCCCTTCGGGCACTTTGGCCTAATGCGGATAGGGGAAGGAAAACCCTGACTCCAAACCCGGTACAATGGGGCCGTGACGGGTGGGAGAACACCCAACCCATTCTTTCTTCCTCACCTATCCATAACCTCCTCTCCTTTTTCCTTGCCCCTTTGTCCCCGGTTTCCCCCTCTACTTTCTTCGGGGTGGCGCCTGCTTTCCAATAGCCAGCTTTTCTTCTTCTTTCTTCGGGGTGGCGCCTGCTGTCAAATAGCCTAGAGGAGACAACCTCGATAAAAAACAAAAAACGAGATGAAAATGGTCCGGAACAAGCGCCGATCATTACCGGCCCAGAGGTCCTCGGAGCCTCAGGGCCCGGCGGGTGTGGGGGGTAGCGTCCCGGCCCCTCCCCCGTCGTCATCAGACGACGGGCTGCCCTCAGTGTCAAGGGCGGGCACTGGGGGCGAAGGGGCTACCGCCCCAAAAGACGAGAAGGCCAGGTTCCTCATGGCGGATTTGCTCGCCATGAGGAAAGCTGGCCTGGAGTGGAAGGCCTGCATTGAGCGCAGGATTGATGAGGCGGCCAGAACAACCGAGGGCCCGCTTTACGACGAGGAAGACGTGCTCCTCGATTCTCTCGAGGCCTTGGGCCTAGTGAGATGGATCGAGTGGATGGCCGAGAGATTCGTCGAGGTGAGAGAGCACCTACTGGACGGGTTGGAGGCGTCGGAGGTGCCCACGAGGAGCGATGCGGCGGGGATGTGTCCCGGACCGGAAAGGGTGGACCGGAGCACATCCCCGCTGGTACTCGTCTGCGAAGATGAGTATGCGACGAGGAGTGTCTCGGTGGGGGTGTGCCTCGGTCCGGATGTTCGGGACCGGGGCACATCCCCACTGAGTGGGCGAGCTGCGAGGGTCGGCTCCAAGAGTCGGAGTACGCAGACGCTGAGGGCGTGGAAGGGGAAGTGCGGATGCACTTCCACGGTGGAGAGTGGGGGGAGCAGATCAGCTGCAGAAGCTGATGCTGCCCCCCAGGAGTGTCGGCGTGGGAGAGGTGCGGTCGATGGGACCCCCGGGACTACGGTCAGGGGGTCTGTGCCGGCCGGCCTCTCGTACGCCGACGCGGTGAAGGCCCCGAGTGCCCGGGCCCCAGGAGTCAAAATCCTGGCCCCGGGACTCGGGGTATTGAGGATAGGGCGAGATGGTGACGGGGACCTCGTTGTAGAGGTCCCCGCCACCAACGAAACGGGAGTGGAGGCCCCCCCTCCCCGGAGGGGTGATTCCGGAGTGGAGTCATCCCCCTCCGAGGAGGGGGGGAGGTCTTCCCCTGATGAGGGAAGAAAAAGAAGGAGGAGGCAGGGGTGGCGCCGTGTCGGCCGTCCTTCGGCAGTATTGCCGAGCGAATGGCCGGCCCGGTGCTACTCCTGCCTTGAGGCCGGGCACGTGGCGGCGCAGTGCCCGGAGAGTGGTGGGAGCAGGGGGGTGCGCTGCTATAAATGCAGCGCACCCTCCCACAAGATGGCGACATGCCGCGCGGGGCGCCCGCGATGTCCGCTGTGTGCGGATCGCGGGCTCCCCGCGGGGCATATCCTGGGGGCGGAGGGGTGTAAACCTCCGCCCCCAGGAAGGGTGAAGAGTGGGCGAGGCGGAGCTCCGCTGAGCCCAGGTGCGGGACGGGGGCTTCCCCCGTCTAAGGAAGGAGAAGGAGGGGGCCAAAAGCGCGGTCCCCTGGATTCCCATCCGGAAGGGTGGGATCCGGGGGAGGGCGTGGATGGCCTCGGAGAGGTCGGCCCCTCCTCTGTGCCGCCACGGATCTTCTGGTTCGGGCGGCCGGAGGGGGAGGCTACGGCCATTGGGGGGGGGACGGTGGAGTCCGCTAAATAGCGGAGTTCATAGTTCCCCCCCCCCAGGGGATCTTCGGGGGAGGGCTAGTAGCCTACGGGCGAATGTCCTCTTCCCGGAGACCCCCTCGTGAGGGGAGGGATAACGGCGGGGGACCTTCTGTCCCCTGCTCGAACCTCGTGGTGGGTCCCCGGGTTGACTGCCGAATCCGCTTCCCTACGGGGGGCGGAGGGAGCACCAATCCGGGGGCTAAAGGGGCCGGGGCCCGAGTCGGGTGAACTCGGACCCCGACCCCGTCCCCCCTGACCACCAAGGGAGGGACGCGGGTGGGCAGTGTGGCCCTGTCCACCCGCAACCGCGACACGCGCGCGCAGAAGGAGGGCCGATGGAGCCCTCCCCGGGAAGAGGATCGGGCGGCGACGATCACCGAACACCCGTGACGTCGCCTCCCGATCGCCGCGGGGGAGGACATAGGGGGGCAGGGACTCGAAGTATTGCAACTGCGAGTCCCGGGTCCCTGTCCCCTCCTCCTGCCGCCGGGATGGCCACCCCAGGGGTTTTAGTGGGTATACCTCCCCTTCTGGGAGGGAGTCCCACATAACCCGCGGTCCCTCCCCGGGGACTGCGGGTATCCATCAAGGATTTCCCCTGGGTTACAAAAAAAAAAAAAAAAAAAAAAAGGTTAGGTTCTCCTCCGATGGTGCGCCACCTTGTCGTGGTGGAGGAGCTCCCCTCTTCCTTCGGGTTGAGGGGTCTAAGAGCGCACCATTGCACTTCCTCGTGGTGTTCGTCGCGGTGGTGGCGGGTGAAAGCGAAAACGAAAGCGGCCCTCGGGCCGTGAGTAGTGAGTATGAGAGTAGCCCAAAGCCGCCGCGCGGACATCACGAGAAGGGGGGTTGCGCTCCCTCCGGGCTTTATGGCCTGATGCGCATAGGGGAAGGAAAACCCTGACTCCAAACCCGGCACAATGGGGCTGTTACGGGTGGAAGAACACCCAACCCATTCTTTCTTCCAACCCATCCTAAACCTCCCATCCTTCTTCCTCGACCGATTGTCCCAGGGTCTCAACTTCTACTTTCTTCGGGGTGGCGCCCGCTTTCAAATAGCACGGTACCCGGCTTTGGGTGCAGATGGAGCCCAGCGACTCCATAGAGATGAGGTCTGCTGCCGCGGACCAGTCTCGTTCGCTGGAAGGGGTTGGCGGCCCTGACTTCAATCGCCCAGTGGTACGGCACTGTAGGGGGAGCCTAGCTCTCCGCCCGTAACTTGTGTGGGTGCTCCCGCAGGGGGGATGAGGTGGCGGATCGGCGGGTGCTCCCGCCGTGAAGCGTCCCTCAAAGGGGAAAAACGGGAACCGGCCGGGACCCTCGCCCGAAGGACTGGTAAGGTGACTTTGTCACCTGCCGGGCCAGAGGCGGGGATTATCTCGGTGGCGGTTCCTCTGTGTGTGAATGGTGTGTGCATGTGTGAGTGTGTGTGTGTGGGTGGAGTTCGGGTCTCTCCTCGGAGAGACGCGGAAATCCACCATCTTTTTGGCCACCGGGCAGTAGAGTCTTCGGGTCGCGGCTCGCTTTCAAGAGGGTTGGTGCCTCACCCTCCGGAAAAATCGGAGGCATACTTATGTCGAGTCTCGGGAACCGTCGAGTGGAGCGGTCCTTATGTCAGGTGAAGGGTACTGTGTTTACGGTACCTGGAGGCTGACATACCGCAAGCGAAGGGTCCGCCTTCCCCTCGCTTTAAATAAAAAATCCGGAGGCGGGGACACGGGAAGGAGCCGGCGTCGCACGTCGGCAACAGGGGGATTGCCCATCCTTGTATAAAAAATCGAAGGCAGCCGGGTGCAGTGTTGACTTCCGTCGCGAAGCACGATAGTGTTTCCCGATGGAAACAACACAGCACAACACCGTCTCCACGTGGAGGCGGAGCTTCTCCCGGGTAGGAAGCCCATCTTCCGCTCTTCAAGCGGGAGATGAGGTTGAGGGGTGGTGCATCACCCTCCGGAAAACCGGATGCACATTTAACTCGAGTCACGTGTGCCCGTATGGCGTGGTTATGTTGGGTGATGGGTTCCTGTGGAAGACCCACTTGAATCCACCGGTCAACATACCGCAAGCGGGGGTCCGCCTCCCCTCGCTTTAAATAAAAAACGCGGAGGCGGGGACACGGGTTAGGAGTCGGCGTTGCACGTCGGCGACAGGGGGCCTGCCCACCCCTGTATAAATAAACGTAGGCAGCCGGGTGCGGTGGTGTCTCGACCGAGACATTGGTATCTCGATTGGGACACTGCTGCACAAGCCGCCTCTACCGGGAGGCGGGTTTAGAAACTTCGGGTAGGAGGCCCACCTTCGCGGCGAAAGCGGGAGGTGAGGTGAGGGTTGTGCATCATCCTCCGGAAATCCGGATGCACATTTACTTCGAGTCACGGGGGCTAACAGGAGTCTGCATTCCTCCTGTCTAATAACGCGGATGCAGGGACACGGGAAGGGTCGATGAGGGTGAGGGGAGCATCGCAACCTCCGCTAAGGTTCCTGGCTCACTTGGGTCCTGAGGTTCCCATTCGGATAGGGTCGGTGGGACCAGGGAACTTCGGTTCCTGGGCTCAAGTGGGTCACAGGGTCTCCATTCGGATAGGGTCGGTGGAACCCGGGGGAACTGAGGCGGACAGATGCTCCCGAGCCTTTCATCCACAGAGTGGGGTGCGCCTTCCCCCATCTTTGAAAAACACGGAGGCGATCGGTGCTGGTTGTATCTACGATGAGATCAACTTAGCGTTTTTTGTTTTCGTTTTCGCGGTAGCTCTTTTTGTTGCGGGTAGGATGCCCACCTTCGCGGCGAAAGCGGGAGGTGAGGTGAGGGTTGTGCATCATCCTCCGGAAATTCGGATGCACATTTACTTCGAGTCACGGGGGCTAACAGGAGTCTGCATTCCTCCTGTCTAATAACGCGGATGCAGGGACACGGGAAGGGTCGATGAGGGTGAGGGGAGCATCGAAACCTCCGCTAAGGTTTCTGGCTCGCTTGGGTCCGGAGGTTCCCATTCGGATA